GGCTCACTCCAGTCAAGCCAGAGGAGAGGAAGTGTGTGTGAGAGGAACTGGGAGTAAGAGGTGTGCAAGAAGCTGAGAGTGAGTAGGTGTACTGCTGGAGGACTGAGAAGTACAAGCGTTATCAGACATCAGGAGGAAGGTCTGGTGGTGAGGACAAAGAAGGTGTTGAGAGGAGGCCATGGGGAAGTAGCCCTGGGAGTTGTAGGTGTCGTGCAACTGTATCAGGAGGCACTCTAAACAGCTGCAGTCCACAGGGCCCTGGGCTGGAACCCAGAGTAGAGGGCAGGCCTGGGTTCCCCCCATACCTCCCAACTCCTGATCAAACACAGGATGAATTGATCTGGACTATAGCTTCTACCAGAGGGGAAGGTCTCTGGACTGTTTCCTGACCCACAGGGTGAATCTGTGAAGTGAGCAAATCCGCCAATAAGTGCAGGACCCACCAAAGTAGAGGAGGAACTTTGTCACAGTATCTGGTCTCATCAGTCAGCTCTCCTAAAGAGTGTACGGAATTTCTCCATCACTTTGGCTCAACTCTCACTTGAGAACTCAGAAACTATTGCAAAAGTCAATCAATCAGGAGAGCTCCAGCAGATGGGTGCATAGGACCAAGAGAGCAGGTGGGTAGAGGAAGGAATGGAAAAGGAGGTAAAGAATTCAGGAAGTAAATGAGGGGGCCAGAAGAAAGATCTCTTGTCTTCCTCCATATACTTTATGCACACATGTGTGCACACACACATGCACACATGAGCATCATTTCACAAGGATAAGCCACCTGTGAGATGTGCACAAATAATTTACATAGATTTTAACCTACAGAGAAAAGATGATCCAGGGGTTAGAGTGCTAGCTGAGGCGTGAGAGAGCCAGGTTCAATTACCTGCTATGCCACAGACGTCCTATGCCATAGACTCGCTGTGCCTCAGTTCCTCATCTGTAAAATAGAGTTAATAGCACTTCCCTATCTCACAGGGGAGTTGTCAGAATAAACACATTAAAGATAGTGAGGTGATCAGCTACCACAATAATGGGGGTGCAAAGTGGGCCAGCCACCTCCCATGAGCCTCTTTGTGACCTAGGGTCATGCTACAGGCAGCCTGTCTCAGTTTCTCCTCTTGAACTATTCAAGAAACTCGAACACTTTTGTCCATTCCCATCCCTTCACAGTTTGTGCTTTATTAAATGAACAAACATTCAAAATAAAGTTTTGAAGTCCATTCAAAAGTCCGCACAAACAAAGATTTCTCTTCCTCCTTTCTTTGCTTTGGGTTACCACTCCTAGGCCTTATCTGGCTGGAGTCTCACTCCTAGATCCTCCTCCCCTTTAGCAATCTCTAATCCATGAACATTCCTCCCTTCATTGCAGCCTCCTGCTGTTCTTTAGGGTGCAATCACCTAGTCTCTCACATGGCTCATTCCATAATCAGGTTTGGCTAATGCCATGTCCTGCCTCCAGCCCTTACGGGGTGAGCCACACTATTACAGGGAGCCAGGTAAGTACTATAGAGCAGGGGCAGGCAAACGTTTTGGCCTGAGGGCCGCATCGGGTTTCAGAAATTGTATGGAAGACCGGTTAGGAGAGGCTGTGCCTCCCCAAACAGTCAGGCGTGGTCTGGGCCCTGACCCCTATCCGACCCCCCCTGCTTCTCGCCCCCTGGTATCCCCCCCCAGGACCCCTGCCCCATCTACCCCACCCTGCTCCCTGCCCACCCCTGAAACCCCCACCCCTGACTGCCCCCCGCTGCCTCATCCAACCCCTCCTCTCACTGCCACCCCTGCCCCATCCAACCACCCCTTCTCCCCTGACCTCCCCCGGAACCCCTGCCCCTGACTGCCTCCCACTGCCCCATCCAAACCCCGCTCTCCTTCCTGACTGCCCCTGGGGACCCCTGCACCCATTCAACCCCCCTGCCCCCTGACCGCCCCACCCCCTATCCACACCCCACCCCCTGACCACCACCTCGAACTCCCCTATCCTCTATCCAATCCCACCTGCTCCCTGCTCCCATACCGCATTGCCTGGAGCACCTGTGGGTGACGGCACTACAGCCATGCCGCCCGGCTGGAGCTAGCCACGCTACCGTGCAGCACAGAGCACTGGGTCAGGCCAGGCTCTCGGCTGCCCAGAGCATTGTGCCGGTGGCACGGCGCACTGAGGCTGCAGGGGAGGGGGAACAGTAGGGAAGGGGCCGGGGGTGAGCCTCCTGGGGCAGGAGCTCAGGGGCTGGGCAGGAGGGTCCCATGGGCCAGATGTGGCCTGCGGGCCGTCGTTTGCCCACCTCTGCTATAGAGAGAGAGCTTCCCTTTACTCTTTGATATTTATAGTACAGTATCCAAAGGCCTCAATTAGGATTGGGATCCCATTCTGGAAAGCACTTGACAAGCACATAGTGTTTGAAGAGTCAGCCTGTGGCCCAATAGCTTGCAGAATTGCAATGTCACTCCAGTATAGTTAACCAATTATACTTGGAATGTCTAAACAGAGTCCACATGTGTGCTGACTAGTTTGCCTTTTTTTCCAGATTGGAGATAGCCAGTGTTGTTAAATATCTAAGTACCACTTATTTTTGCACATTGAACCAGGTTGCAATAGCCTTAGTCTTACCAGAGATATTATGTGCCCAGAGTTCTTGAGTCATGATAAAGTACATGAGCAAGATTTTTAAAGTGGCTAAAGATTTTCAGTGCCTCAATTTTAGGATGCCCCCCCTTGAGACTGCTGAAAGGAGCTTGATTTTGAGAAAGTCCTGAGCACCCACCCTTTGAAAATCATGCCCCTTTAAGGAGTTTTAAAATAGGCATTCTAAATTGGAGGCACCCAAAAACACATCATTTGTGAAAATTCTGATCCCCTAATGATGGGGAAGTAATTCTTATTCCATAGAATTTATTAGGGCAATAAAGTAGGACTTTTATGTCAGACATACAGTGCATTTGGTAATGCACTGCCTTCCCTAGACATATCCGTATGTCTCTTTCTGCCTTTGTAATGCAAGGCAGACAGGCTAGTAGATAATGCACGGTATGTCATACTATGCAGAAAAGCTGCAGCATAGCATAGCTGGACAAATTTTGAAGGCCCACTAGAGATCCTTGTGTTCTTTTTTTGCCCTGTCTTGTCACTGGAGCTCTGGTGGAGAGTGCTCCTTTGCCGGCTGCTAGTAGACTGATTCATTCCCATAGCCTCCTTCACTTGGATGTAACTCAATCACCGTGTGATAGCGACAAAGGCACTGGGACACTAAATCAGAAAACCTCTTCTCCTTTCCACCACAGTCTCTCCCCCCACCATTTATGCAGGCACTTTTTCTTGCAACATGATCAGACGAATGCTAGAGAACTGGAGTTAAGCATATATCAGTGCACTGGCACTGAACTACTTCCTCCTGCCATTAGTGCCATGTTTACCGCAGGGCTGAAGCAACAATGGAACTGTCTTACAAAACGATTACAGTGTAAAGTAGAACTGCATTTTTCAGCATTGACTCTACATCTGTGGTCTTATGGCCATAGATACTATGGCAATGGGTGCCTTCACAATCGGTAAGAGAATGGTGTATTGTGGTGCAGGCAGGACCAAGAAGCACAGAGAGATACATGTAAATCCAATAGAGGTAAGTGCTTTAGCAGTGAGAACCTGGAAGTGGCCCATATACTCAGTATTACTTGTATGTGTAGGGAGAACCATAGCATGTTAACTCTTTAAGTGTCTTTCAGCATAGATGGATAATTCCCCTTTTAGAAATATAAAAATGTGTGACGCTAAAATGTCAAGTGGAACAAGATTTTATGATGTGATTTTTTTAGAACTAAAGCTAAAGGCCAGATTCTCTACCTTGGGAAAGTCCCTTTTGTGCTGCTCCAGCATGTAAAAGAGATTTACAAGCTGCCCTAAGGAGGCACCTGAAGATTCCTCTGACAAAGGGAATCCCCCAGTGCTGGAAAGTGCATGATGCTTAGGTGCTTATTTATTTAGCTATCCTAATAAACCCTCCTCTGAGTTAGGGAAGTACTATTATTATCCCCATCTGACAGGGGGAGAAACTGATACATGCAGAGATTAAGTAACTTGCCCAAAGTTACACAAGAAGAGATGGGAAGTGAATCTGGGTCTCCTAATCTTTCAGGATCATCTTCCATGTGTTTCACTATCCAAAAGAGAAGAGAGGGAGACTGCCCAATGCTGGTCCTGACATGATTAAATCATCTCCCTAAGGTGGTGTTGGTGTGATGATTCAGGCAGGTAGCCTAGGGAATTAGCTGTCCTCAGCAGGTTTTCAAGGTTTTCCACTTGCTTCTGAACACCAGAGATTATTCAGATTCCCCCCCTTGGGATCTACATCTCTTGAGGCTGACATCAGCATCCCAGGTAATCACAAAGACAAAAGTCAGCAGTGGCTCCCATTGAAGAAAGTGAAGAGTAGTGGTAACCACTTGTTTGGAACTTGGCTAACTGAGGGCTCCTCTCCATTTGAAGCTGAGTCTGTTGCATCAAACTCTGATTGTCTTTCAGCTGTGGGGGCTGGTTGTGATGCATTCACTCTGAGAGTTTTCTCAAACTCACTCAGAATTCGTTCTCCTTCTATCTACAAATTCAAGCAGCCAAGGGGAAATATTTTCTTTTTCTGAAGAGAACATTTCAGCCAAAGATACAATGTTCTTTGGTTCTGGTCTCAGTAACACTGCATAACCTGGCAAGAATTCCTTGTTTCCTGTATCAGTCATTCCTTGGCCTTATTTCCAGTAGAAGAAAATATGCCCTAACCTCCGGCACCCTACCTCCAAGGCTACCAGAGCCTTCTTATCCCCCCTGTGCTTCACAACATAGCCGTGGCAGCAGAAGACCATATGTTTGTCAGATTAGTTACTCTCACATTTTCACATAAAGTTTGAATTTGTGTTCACTTATGCAGTGGGAGACCTTTCATTGGTTGTTCAGTTAGGGTATTATTAATTATGTGTGTTTTCCCCTTTCTAACAAATCATTCTATTTGTTCCAGAGTGTGCTGGTAATTTTGATGGGGGAGTTCAGGAGATGGAGCGCAACGTGATTCAAGACAAAAGAGTCTCCATTCTGATTACTGCTCCATTGTGTGACAGAGCAAAACATTTCAATGTGGTTGAGACTGAATTTGAGTCAAGAAAATACAAGTTGCAGGTAAAAAAATGTTTTGTAGTCATTGAAAGTTGAGGGTGAGGTGGGAGAGACTCGTAATTAAGTGTCAAAGTTTGAGATGTCATCACAGCCTAGAGATGTTTGTATAGCCTTAGTCACACAGTTTTCCTATGTTGTGGTTTATATATTTGAAGAGTATAAAAAATTACACATTTTAACAAGAAAAAAACCCCTCTTCTTGTTTATTACAGTCACACAACAAATGTCTCTGCTTTTAGCATGTTTTTTGGAGAGATTTTGTTTATTAGAGAACAAAGGAAAAGCAGAAAAATAAGGATTAAACTTTTCAGGTTTTTGAATGTAAAAACTCTTTGATTTCCAAGCTGGTTATGATTAACAGTATTAACTGTTTCATTCCCTTAGACGGAAGGGGACATGGCAGATGTCTTTCACCCTGGCTAGCAAATTTAATCTTTGGACCAATGTGTGTCAGGTAAAATTTTCAAGCCCAGTTCATGAGGGAGTATTGGGATGGTAGCAGTGAGTTAATTGAACAAGTCACCATATAGCTGGCTTGAGTATATCCACCTACTACAGTTCTCTGGGATGCTGTAAATATACTGTAACTTTGGGGTGTTCTCATACTTTAAAAGAAAAACGATCTTATTACTACGACTCAGTCATGAAATCTAGCTCCCTGCTGACATCCAAGCCACGAAATATTTTGCTCATTGGTAGTAGGATTCCTTTGGATATCCTTAAAAAAAACAACTCTCTGTCTAAAAAAGGGACAATGGCAAGTTAAACAAGTAAAATAACCCACTCCCTTTGTCTGGCATTCACTCAGCATGAGAAATGGGTTAGCCTTTTGTATGTCAATATTCTCTGTTTAGCCATGCCTCAAAAAATGTTTCTATTTAACTGCTACCTACTTCTTAGTGAATCAGTCAGTGCTAGTGGCACTCATTGATCTCAGTTGGAACAATGAACAAGTGTGTAGGCAGAATCTGGCCCTAAGTAACATATCAGCCTATTAGTAGAGAGTAGAGGAAGGAACCACTTTCCCTAAGACCTGTGCCAATTGTTAAATTAAATTAATAATTCACTGACAAACTGAGAGGCGTTAATCAACTGAATGAAACCTTTTGGATGCTCAGGCTGTGTAAACAAGAATTCATAGAGATAATAGCTAGAGTAACTTTTAGCTGTGTATTTGTAGGGCAATAAAGGGCCAGATGCTGAAAGCTGTCCATGCATGGAATTCCAATGGTTTCTCTGTGAGTTTTGCATGCAGACCCAAAGTTGCTGTGAGTAGACCTTGTGATTGGGGAGAAAATGGACATAGGTTAATACCATATTGGGATGAAAGAGTCAAATCCTGAGCTACTGTATGCAGGATATGACTTTGTTCACTTTAATATGCCGTTCATAAGAAAAAGAATGTCACTGCTAAGGTTAAATAACGGCTGGTGCTTATGAACCTTTCTGTGGCAAATAGGAGATGACAAAGGAAAAGCAAAACTTGTATATGAAATTGATTCTATAATTATTAAAGACTGTACTAAAAGTTCAAATATGAAGAATTATTTTCTATTCTATGCCTTAGTTGCCATATCGGATCAGACTGATGGTCCATCTAGTCCAGTAACTTGACTCAGACAATGGCTAGCACCAGATGCTTCAGAAGAAGGTGCAAGAACCTTGTGTTGGGCAGATGTGGGATAATCTTCTCCCACATTGGTCTCTTCTGAACCCCTAGCAGAGATTGACTTAAACCCTTAATCATAAGACTTAACAACCCTTCCAAAATTTGAGCATTAACTTTTATAACTCTGAATGTTCTTGTTATACATTATAATATTCTCGTTATATAACAATCCCTGTTATGAGTCAACAGTGTGCCCTTGTTGCCAAGAAGGATAACAGCATTTTGGGCTGTATATGTAGGAGCATTGCCAGCAGCTTAAGGGACGTGATCATTCCCCTATATTCGGCATTGGCTTCATCTGGAGTACTGTGTCCAGTTTTGGGCCCCACACTACAAGAAGGATGTGGAAAAATTGGAAAGAGTCCAGCAGAGGGCAACAAAAATCATTAGGGGGCTGGAGCACATGACTTATGAGGAGAGGCTGAGGGAACTGGGATTATTTAGCCTGCAGAAGAGAAGAATGAGGGGGATTTGATAGCTGCTTTCAACTACCTGAAAGGAGGTTCCAAAGAGGATGGATCTAGACTGTTCTCAGTGGTACCAGATGACAGAACTAGGAGTAATGGTCTCAAGTTGCAGTGGGGGAGGTCTAGGTTGGATATTAGGAAAACCTTTTTCACTAGGAGGGTGGTGAAGCACTGGAACAGGTTACCTAGGGAGGTGGTGGAATCTCCTTCCTTAGAAGTTTTTAAGGTCAGGCTTGACAAAGCCCTGGCTAGGATGATTTAATTGGGGTTGGTCCTGCTTTGAGCAGGGGGTTGGACTAGATGACCTCCTGAGGTCTCTTCCAACCCTGATATTCTATGATTCCATGATTCTATGTTTGAATCTTAACAGTTGTCTTATTTTTTTAATACTACTGTACATTGATCAGAAATTTTCACTGCACTGTTCTGACTGGTGCCCAGATCTTTTTCCTGGTGGTTACAACTGATTTAGAACCCTGCAATGTGTGAGAGCAGTTCAAATTATTATCCTTCTAATGTGCATTACTTTGCATTTGTCAACAAAGACTTCTGCCATCGTGTGGCCCATTCCCCAGCTGTAAGCTGCTCTGAAGCTTCTCAGTCTTCTCTAGTCTTGAGTAATAATCTTGTGCCATCTGCAAATACTGATGCCACATTGTTCACCCCCTTAATTATATAAACCTCGCTGGGTTTAGTAGAGAGAACCGTGGATCACCATACTGCTACTCTTTTGTCATACTGAAAATTAAATCTTCATTGTTCTTTTTTCTCTTTCTTTCAGCCAGTTTCTAATCTATAGCAGAATTTTATGTAGTACCAGGAGAGCATATTTATGCAACATTGTTCTATTCCATTGACTTAATCTTTCAGTTAACATTCTTGCACTACTGTATTATTATTCACAGGTTGATTTAGAGCAATGGAGCTCCATATGGTCTTCTGATATGCACGGCTCATTGCCCAGTGTCTTGGCAAGTCAGTTACTGCAATTGATTTATATGTTGGATGTTTCCTCTTACGTCATTCTTCATATCTCCTCCCACTTAAACTCCTGAAAGGTTCTGTATTATTTTTTAAAGAATGGCTGATAGCAAATGTATCACTATAGTTACAAAAGAGAGTCCTACAATTATAATTTGGCTGTACAAAATACTGCAAATAAGAGACATACCTTAATATACCACCTCAGGGTTATTTGGAGGACAGAGAGGCTTTAGCAGATCTGTGGTATATAAACAAGAGGCACGCTGCAGCCCCAAACTAAAATACCAACATGTAATAATTCTGGTCTTCCAAGGAAGACCAGCCATACCAAACCTCTTCAGTGCCTGCTCATGATGCTACCATGATGTCACTTTTGGCTCTGTGAATAGATTGGTCCACCTGCAGGTCTGCCTGCTTCTTGTTTGCAAGTTGATTATTTTGAAAAATAATAGGATACCAGCCTGGTATCCTAGTACCAGTGTAACAAGGAACTCTTAATAATCCTGTGTTACTTCCCAAAATTGACCCCTGGGTTATGTCATGCATAATCTGTCTTGCTGTAAAATGCATCACTGTATTGTATCTTCTATTTGACGACTCTTTAGTTTGTCCATTAATCTCTTATATAGAACTAGCTACATCCATTTGAGAATTGGCTTAATGTTCTCTCTTCAGCAGCATACATGGCTTACTCTATACACCAAGATACTTGACCTATGAAAGTTGGCTTGCAGTTAGTAGACAGCAGCAGGGTCAGGATTAGTTCAAAATAAATCATTAGTTAGAAATTGTAACTCACTGTGCTACATGTGGTGCATCCTTCAAGGCTTATTTACCAATTGTAATTTTTTTCTTCAATGGGTTCCAAAAAATTCCTAGACATGCTAATTAGTACTGTTTTTGCTACAGGAGGACATTTGGCCTGAAAGTTTAATTTAATACTATGCTTTGATCATAGAACTCCCATTAGATGATGCCCCCAAGAAAATGATTTTTTTTGCATAGTGATTTAAATGGTAATGCTGCTGCTTAGTTGGAACAGAATTTAGCTAGTGCCAGATAGTTCAGTGGTGAGAACCAGATGTTAAATAAGTGTGAAATTCTAAACTGTAAATTAAGTTATAGGTAAGTTAACTTTGGTGATATTGGTTAAAGATTAAAGCAGTAGTCCAAACCAATCTAGCCAAGTAGTTCTTGATCATAGATCTGCCACTAGCTGGTCTATCACTCCCTTCAAGTGAAGATACAGGAACAACAGGGACTATTAGAGCATTGGGGCTTCAAATGGTTCCACTGTAGCTCAGCAGCTACTCCATGGGCTTAAGCATCAGGATTCCTTCTTCGATCAGCCTCAGTAGAACCTTCACACACGACATCCAGCATCAGCTCGCTAGTTTGGCTCAGATGAAGGATGTAACCTGAAGGTCCTGATCCGATAAGCATGGACACAAATTCAATGCAGTGGGTGACATCCTGCCCCTGTTAAAGTCCATGGGTAAAACTCTCACTGACTCCATGGGGGCCCGTATATAACCCAATGGGACTCCTCTTGTATGGTGGCTAAGCACATACTTAAGTGTTTGCAGAAGCAGGGCCTATGCGTGTAAATTCTTCCTCTCTCGCCTCCAGATTTTTTGAACATGGCTGGCCCAGGGGAATTGTTCATCTCCTTGGAAAACTGAAAAACAAATGAAAACTTGACGATGCTTTGGATCCTTGTTGTTCAAAAAAAAATCCTTCTTTCTATTTAAAACAAGAGATGTTTTTTCGTACTGATTTTTACATAACTTCTACTACCAAGAAATAAACAGCATTGATTTGACTGAGCTATTACATGTCAGTGAGCTGCAGCTTAGAGTGTCAGTTCTCATCATACACTTATGTGGCAGGTTTTATGAATAAAACATGGGCAGTTGCTTTATGGGAAGATGCCACATCTTAGCTACTCTAAACCCTCTGTCCTTGAAGAGAAAAGCTTTGAAAAACTGGGACCATATTTCACTCCAAGATATACAATATACTTTTCAATGAAGTGATAATATATCGTTTTTAGCTGAATAACTTTCTTCCCTCCTCCCCTCCCATACTTACGAGAAAAATATGGCATCTTAAACTAAAGCACACTTCAGTCAGTCTCCCTGTGTCCGCTCTGTGCCAGCAGCCACAACACTGCTTTCATCTTGGCTTCAAAGCGTGGTACTGGAGGGTGGGGGAGGGGATGTCTAATGCAAGAAGGGGAAACAAACAAAAAAAAAGGGAGGAAAAGAAAAATAATATTCTACCTTTCCAATATGAGCTTTGCCTGCAGGAAGGCTACAGTGCATGCTGTATTCACACAGTTTTGCCCGTTGTATATATACTTTTTGGTTATTGCCACTTCCCATGCTGGGAAGATTCTTGTCATCTCTGACATATTTTATCCACAGAAAAGGCTGCCCTGCCCTGCGCTTGGTGATTGAGGCTGTGCCCCCGGTGTGCCACACTATCAGTGGTTCCCAAGGCTGCCTAGCCTGGGAAAAGCTGCATGGACACGTTCCAAAATCAGCATTACATGCATTATTGTTCTTACTCTGCCTGATTAGAGTGCACACAATGAAAACAACAGCAACAGCCTCATTTTCTAACCCTCCTCCCAACACAAGGCTGCTCCGAGTCTGTTTTTTTCCCCTGAGTCTTCATAAAAATTAACTGTTTCGCTGCTGCAGGACGCCCAGATACCACCGTTGCTGAACTGCTGTGTTCTTGGTTATTCCACAAGAGTTTCCAGAGATTGTGGGGAACATTTTCAAAAGTGCCTAACTGACTTAACAGAGTCACTTTTGAAAATGGGACTTAAACACATGATTAACATCTGGGCTTAATACACTACTGGAGTGTGCTCAGATACTATGGTGATGAGTGTGACATAAGAACACATATAGAACAGTGTGAGTCTTCTCCTCCTAAATGCCTATTTTTTTTAGATGCTCTTGTGCTTTGTGACACATGCAGCAGCCCAGTTTTTCCAACTCCGTTTGTCTAATGCCATGTTTCTTGCTCCATTGTAGTCTGTTTCCATGGAAGTGACCTCATTCTCAGTGCTTTTCTGATATGTCATCTATTGTCTTCCTCTTTTCCGTCTTCCACCAAGTGGTATCCAATGAAGGGCTTGTCTAGGAATACAGTTCTTGGACATTCGTACAACATGCCCAAACCATTTCAGCCTTCTTTCTCAAATCATTGTCTCTACAGTCTGTTGGTCAGTCCTTTGTAACACATCAACATTCGTTACTTTATCCCACTAGCAGACACCAAATATTCTCTGCAAGCATCTTTGATGGAATGCGCTAAGTTTCCTATTTTAGCATTTGCCAAGTTTCAGGAGCCTATAAAAATGTGGTTAGCACAATGCACTAGATAACTTTATCTTGGTTCTTGTATGAATCTCCTTATTTTTCCAGATATTTGGAAGTCTCAGAAAAGCTCCACTATTCCCAATTCTTGCTTTCATCTCCTTATAGAGCTGGCCATCAGCACTGCTTATGCTTCTGAGATACACAAACTCATTAACCATGCGGTATACTTCACTATCAATCACACACACCATCATTGCTGACTCCTCTTTCAAAGATCATGAGTTCATTTTCTTTTGGCTGATTTTTAATCCTACTTTGGCGGCTTCACCTTGGACATTGATAGTGCTCGTTTTCATGGCATCGTCATCTATGTCCAACAGAACCATATCATTGGCAAAGTTAAGATCTTGAAGTCTTGGAAGTCTAGCCTGATCCGTTACCCGAGAGAGGTGCCTGGTAGCATAGCATGCCCCAGACCTAAGAGCCTATGTCACTTTTTAAAATTGGATTTGGGCTCCTAAATCACGTAGCTGCTTTTGAAAGTTTTATCCTGTATGTCTCCAGGAAGCTGCTGGTAGGACAGACTTGGAAGGCTGATGAAGAGAAGAGAAGGTGCAATCCCTATAGATAAAATATGAGAGACAGTATGCAGTATTTTATATATTTTACATGCACCAATAACTGTAATAAAATGTGTAGAAATACAATATTACATACTGTATAGTGTTTCTTGTATTTTATATATACACATATATAATACATACCATTATGAGTACGTAGATAAACAGACAAAATAGGATATAATGTAGATGTTTTATTTCAGGAAATATTTTATGTTGTTTTTATACCACGTTGTACAGAAAGGCAGTGCCTGTACCATACAAACTCTTCCAGAGAAATGTTGCTCTCCCGGGGATTACAGTTGAGCTTGGAAGGAATATTCTCTTCAGCGGGATGCAGATAGTGAGGCTTCTTTACATATTAAGGCCTCTGCTGAGGTCAAACTGCAACTTGTTTTCAATCATTGAGAATTTGTGAGGATATTCTTGTGTTATGTGATGGACTTTCTTCTTTTCATCTCTAGGGCTGCAACTGTTTATCTTGAAGCCACTTGAAGCTAGAATAAAACTAATTTTCCTTGCCTTTAGTACTTTTACAACATGAAACAAAAGACGTATGCAGATAGCTTTCTAATCTGTATTAAGTGTACCTGTTTTTGTTGTCGTTGTTATGGCCAGAAATGTGATTCTGCCAAAATAAAATATTAAGCTTCTTTATTTTCCATCAGTGATTTCAGTGTTGCATTTGCTAAATTTGCAAGTCCAAATAAAATTGTTCTAACTTCCATCCCAGCCAGTTCGCCTTGGGACTTTAAAATCAAGTTGGTTATATTTTATTCTCCCTCATGTATCATCATTTCCAATAAGGATATTAGAGCCTGACTTTAGCTGGCGACATTGTTAGTTAGATAGTGTGATATAAGGCAGAATATAGTCTGGTCTTCAACAACTGTACTGACTCCACCATACTGAAAGAAATAACATCTTACTTTTCTTAGTAAACTAGCTTATAAAGGACATGTCTACACTGCACCTGGGAGCCATCCTGAGTCCACAGACTTGTGCTAGTGGGGCTTGTGCTAACTCTCTAAAAATAGCTGCACAGATGGTGCTTGATGTTGCGGCTCAGGTTGGAGCTCAGGTTCTGAAACCTGGGGGCAGAGTGCTTGAGAGCCCGAGCAGTAACATCTCCATGGCTATTTTTTAGCACATTAGCATGAGTCCCCTAGCATGAGTCTGTGGACATGATCTGGGAGACTTGCTTCTAGATGCAGTTAGGGTGGCCACTCATGCATTCCCAGAATACCAGACGTGCTGGCACCTCCAGGAACAGCATGGGCCCACCCCTTCTGGTGTGACCTCACATGCATGGTGTGTGCAAGATCATGCCACATGGGGATGCCATTTTGAAGAGCACACTGGTGCCCACTGGCATGATCTCACCTGCACCATGCACATGAGTTCATGCCAGTAGGGATGGGGAGCCATTCAAAATGGCATCCCTGGTCCGATACCCGTCAAAACCATTGCCAGTTTTGTTTCAGTACCTGAAGGGTGACAAAGTAACCTTAGAAAAGCAGGACTGTCCTGCTTAAAACTTGGCAGATGGTCTGCCTAGATGTAGCGTAGATATGCCCTATGACTCAAAAGCCACAGGATCCATTCTGCTCTCAGTTATGCTGACCATAGTGGGAGTTACATCCACTTAACTGATTGGAAAATTGATATGCTAGGTCTTTTGGTTCATAATTTATTTGATTGACGTCAGTGGAAGTGGAAGTGAAAGTGAAGGCAGAAAAAGGTTAACAGAGGACAGTAACAAGGGGCCATTTTATTAAACTAGCTTTTCTGACCCTCACCACATTGTAAAGAGTACATTTGCTGAATGTTTGTGTGCAATTAACATATTTAAGATCAGACTCCTATATCATGACTGATTCCTCTACTAATCACCACAAAATATAGGCTGGAGTTCAGTGTTACTTCTCTTGCAAACCAATTCCAGTGATTCTGTCAGTTACTTGTTTTGTCCAGAAGTCTCAGTTAGAGGGATGTTATAGTCCATCACCTTATAATTTTCTAATTTTAGCTGGGAGAAAGTCTCAGATTGTTCTGGAAAGCTTCAATGTTAGGCTTTTTATAAAACTAATTAAAGTGTGGAACCAGTTCATGAAGACAATATTAATGAAGCTCCTATAGTATAAAAAAAACCACCCTCAACTATTTCAGTATAGTGAAATCACTATAGTCATCAAAGATTTATGTGGTGACATATATTACAGGAGGTTTTGGTATTTCTAGATTCATGGCTACTCACCAGCCCATCGGTCAGATTTGCATTAGCTTACTGCCGAGCAATTTCTACACTGCAAGCGCTTACAGGGAAGTGGCTCCTAATTCCGTTTGTGGATCTGGGCTTTAGGAGCCACGGGAGTTATACCAATATAATTATACAAGTATAGTTAAACCTCTATAGTCAAATCTATATAGATCCCTGTGTGGGAGCTATTATTCCAAAAAGAGAGTGGCTTTTTCTGGTTTAGCTCAAACCATTTTCAAAGCAACATAACCTAACTCCCTCTTCCCCCCACCCACACCCCAATGACCCTTTTATGCTGGAATAACAATGTCTATATGGGAGCTGTACCAGTATAATTAATAGTGGTTTAAATTCATACCTTACCTTATGTGCCAGTATAACTTTCCATTTAGGCAAGTCTTTACTCTCATTGAAAATCAATGGGACTTAGTCTCCTAAATCAATTAGATGGTTTTGATAATATTACATTGTGGAAGCAGAGAATCTATTGAAGAGACCAAATTAACTGAGCATAGATTTGTACAAATTTGTGTTTACAGAGATGGCCTCAGGATGAAATGTCTGATTAAGCAATAAAATTGCATCATGGCCTAAATGAAGATTTACTGACAGTGCTTCCAGGCATACCTACCCCAAGCCCTTATACTACCGGCTGCGTTGCCACTTGGTGTAAAGTATCCACTTCACACAGGATAGTTTGCTATGGGCCCCTTTGGAATAAAGCCGTCTCACAGCTGTGTGTTACCTGAACAGACTTGGATTAAGTTTCTGTTGCCATGGAAGCCATGTAGTCCCCTCTAATTATTCTGTTCACATGACAGCCATGCCCACTGTGGGATAAATTCTGACAGAGTTCAGATTACAAGGTAGGTTCCTTTCTCTTTTTTGGTGAGGCAGGCATATTGGATTAATGTGTAGCTGGCCTACAAATAACTGAAAAGGCCTGATTGCGCAGGGCAAGGTTTGTAAGTACATAGTTTGAAATTATAATGTATATGTCATCTGCCATGCTTATCTCGTGGGTAAACATGTTAAATTAACTTGGAAAAAGAAGAGATGCCTGCCAGCCACAGCTGTTAGTCTTAATCTTTCTCATTTAATTTCTAAGCAAGCCTTTTCTCATCTCACACATTATGCCTAGAAAGGGGGGGATGTGTGTACTCCATGAATCTGGAGTGAGATTTATGGAAAATCTGACATGGAGCAGAAGAGATGTGTTATTGTGTACATATTGTTGGTTTTAACCAATAAAACCCTAAATGGCATTTTTCAGACTGCCTTTCTTCGTATATGATACACAACAGCTGAGCTCAGTGGAGGCACTCAGGCTACTAAGGATCAGGGTGGTGCATTTGAATAAACTGAAATACATACATAAATATAAATGCAGTGGCATAAATGACAGGTATGGCACAAGAGGTCATCAGGAAAATTAGAACAACCACCAAGGTGGGTTAAGAAGAGCGAGATTGACAGCTTGTCTCATGGAGACATGCCAGAGAAACAGAAAAAGTAAGTACATCCTGCATGAGTCGTACCTATGTTCTCAATAATTTCGTAGATTTGATAAAGTGGTTGGGAGATTGAATGTGAGACCGGAATGCCAAGAAGATGCAACAAGGAGGCAGAGGGAAAACACACAAAAGCAAGATGATTGGTGAGTAGCAATCCCCAGAATCTCTTGAATCAAGTCTCTCATCCTGGAAGTACTCTAGGTTCCCCAGAAGGTCTTCAGAAGATGATACTCAAAATCTCTCTCAGACCTTTGAGAGGATACCCTGAATGTGACAGTAGCCAAAAATCAATTAATGTTGTTATTTATTATTATTATTATTTATTATTAACCATGTTTATTATGGAAGTGTCTAAAGGTCAACCAAGAATGGGGCTTCATTGTGCCAGGCTCTGTAAAAAAAACAAAAAACAAACCCAAAACAGCAGTTGTAGACAATCCCTATCCCCAAAGACTTTATAATCTAAATAGTCTTGCTACTGTATTCAGACAAGACAGACTTGCAATTTATAGTGATTCAGATGTTAAGATGTAACCTGAGCATTATGAACAAGAGAAATGACCCATCCTGAAAACTCACAATGTTACTATGCCAGGAATTCCAGAGGTGTACATTTTTATCCTACCTACAAACCTTGGGAGGCAAACACATTTGGAGGACCGCTAATAAAAGTGAATAAGGCAAGAAATTAAGTTGTCAGCATTTCTCAAATGAGTCTGTTCATGAAGATTATTTTGAAGATATGAAAACTGGGTAAAATTGTCTAAACACAACTCCCAAATAACTTGCCCACAAATACTGATAACATCTGCAACACAGTACGTATTTTGTACAATGAACCCAAGATGACCTATTCAGCAAACATAAGGTTTAAAGACACGTCAGGCTTGTAACAACTACAGATAGTCTATGCTTTCCTATTACTACATATCGGTACCATCAAAATTGTCAAATACCGGATGTTTCTTTAGCATCCTTAAATGCAATGGACCCATCACTAAAACTCTGTAATTTGATCTCACTGTAATGAGTCAAAGTCTCTGTAAATATTAAAGGTGGTGATGGATTCACCTCCACAGTGTCCTCAGTTTTTTTTCCAGGGAAGCTTCCTAAAGATTGGATGCCTATCCAAACTTAATTGTTCACTTCTTGGTATAGAATTTGGGCTGTCAAGTTTGGGATAACAGGTTTCCTCTCAGGAAGTCCAGTGCTCCCTTGCCTTGTTGGGATTGGAAAACGTAAGGATATCTTTTCTAGCTGTGTTTCAGTATGTTTGCTTCTGAGGAAAAAAAAAGAAGAAAAAGAAGAAGAAAATAGTTTATAAATTAACAAACTAACTTTTTCAAACCTCAGAATAGCTTCAGGTTCAGTTTTGTGTGAAGGATCAGGTCTGTCATTTTATTTGAAGCAGTTCACCTATCCTTATTAAATATGGCACATGCTGCTCTTTATTACTACATAAAACAGCTCTTATGGCCATAATAAAGTAGATATGAAATTCAAGGTGCTGTGCCTTTTAAAGATATGATGCAGCCTCAATACACTTGCAGGCATAAGTCTATCTATCTATCTATCTATCTATCTATCTATCTATCTATCTATCTATCTATCTATCTATCTATCTAATGTTTTTATTAATAGGGAGAAAAAATGAAATGCATTGAATTAAGATAGCATTCTGGATGGACACACTGGAAAAATAGGTATTTTACTACAAAAAGGGAATTGTTTTTTCTGACAATGGGCAGGTCAGTATCTTTGCTGAAAAGATGCTGACCTGAATAGACTATCAAAATGCTTCATGGCTGTTAAATGAAGAACTCATCCTTCTAATCTTTGAGTGGGAGAGGAGGCATTTGTTCAATAGTCTCACACACACACACACACACACACACACACACAGTGCAACAAAATTTGATTCACAACAATATCTAATGGATTGAAAAGAAAGCAATGGGGTCTTTGCAAGAACCTCAGTGAACTATTTTCCATAGTTATTTTAATGAGAACAATAAAATGGATGCATCAGACACCAGGAAATATCCTGAGGCATATTGATCTGAATAGCCAGAGGAAAGTTGATAGAGAGGTCCAAGCGACACAGAAATGTTCCAAAGATACTCATCATTATCGAACTCTTTTTTATGGATATGTGCTATAGAGTATAATAGGAATGAAACATACAGGGTTCTGTAAAAATTAATGTTAAAATCTACCATGTGGAATTTAATTGAGAACCAGACCTTGATGATATCTTATTTTAAACTGAGAATTCATTAAAAATAATCTGGGAGGTGTGACAGGGTGTGAGTAGCCTAAGGCTGACTCCTCACTCTGTGCCCTTAGGTCTGGTCTACACCACAGAGTTAGGTCAACGCAAGGCAGCTTACGTCAACCTAACTATGGAAGTGTCTACACTTAAATATTGCTCCCGCTGATGTTACTGGCCAACTATGCCAACTTAATAACTCCACCTCTGCAAGTGGCGTAGTGTCATGGTCAATGTAGTTAGGTTGACACAGTGTCAGTGTAGACACTGCATTGCTTATATTGGCTGTTACTGGCTTTCAGGAACCATCCCACAATGCCCCACACTGATAATACAATCCATATAAGCGCACCTGGTGAGGACATGCACTGCTGACACAAGGAGCAAAGTGCAGACACGGATAAGCAATACAATTACTGCGATGGCTGTACGCCAACATAAGCTAGGTCAACTTAATTTTTTAGTGTAGACATGGCCTCAGTAAGTGTTCCCACATGAGCCAAAGTGATGAGATAATTGATTAAGTACCAGGTGATTAATCAGTCAGCAAGGGGATTCAGCTCCTCAGCTGAGGATGGTTAAATGAGAGTCAGGAGGAGGCTGGAAGGCAGAAGGACAAAGGATCTCAGGATCTCAGAGAGATGAGATTTCTCTTCTGCCCTGTGCCTTGGTAGTAGGTAAAGGCTTGGGGAAAAGCCTTATGCAGTGAGGAACAAACACTTGTAAAGCATGTTGTAAACCAGACATTCTCAAACTGGTGAGCATGCCCCCTAGAGGGCATGGAATGTGTTGGGGTGGGGGGGGCATCAGAAGATTTAGGGAAAAAAACTTACTGCACATATTCAGAGCTGGGCAGCTGGAGAGCAGTGGCTGCTGGCCAGGTGCCCAGCTCTGAAGCCAGCACTGCTGCCAGCAGTAGTGGAGAAGTAAGGGCATAGCATGTCACTTTTACTTCTGAACTGCTGTGGTGGTGATGCTGCCTTCAGAGCTGGGAGCCTGACCAGATGCAGCTGATCTCCCCTCTGTCTTCAGAGCTGGGTGGTTGGAAAGCAGTGTCTGCTAGCTGGGCACCCTGGGAGGGGGCATGTAAATTACCGACATAAAGAATGGGGGCATGATAAGTTTGAGAACCACTGTTGTAAATAATGCAGATGGTGTGGAACATGCCATTGGTGTGCATGAGGACTGTTTGCAGCAAGAAATACAGGGTGAGGGAACCATGCCCTGTGACCGGAGGGAACTGCAGAGTAGTGGTATTATGTCAATAATAAAATTCACACACAAAGGGGCCTGATTCTGATCTCTCACCAGTTTTACATGGGGGGTCACACCACTAGCTTCAGTGGAGTTACTCTTGATTTACACTGGAGTAAGTAAGATCCTAGGAGTACCAATTGCTCTTAAGATGGGCTGAAACTTCAGTGGAATTTCAGATGTGAGACCATTGGGTTAAGGTCTCAACTGTGAGCAGCCCTGTAATACTGCTCTTTGGCTATGCAGTGCCCAGAAGTCTTAAGTCTCATTACAAGTATAAAGTCTATGTTTTATTCATCTGTGTGAGCCAAATTCTGCCCTTAGAAACATGTGCCCAGCTCCTGTTGGAAAAAATGGGAATTGTATGAGTGTATCTGAGGGAGGTGTGAGCATAGACTGCCATAGTTTTCATCCATTTCGCATGGCATCAGAATTGTGTCTCCCCCATTGTAATGTTACAAGATTTCACTTGCTAAGAATTCAGTACTTTGCACCATATGTATCTAAATGTAGCTTAGGGACGAACACCGTTACATTTTTCTCTCATTTCTTATTGTTCACCCCTCTTCTGTCTGTGACTTCATTTCAGACCAAGAAAGTCAATATTTACTCTGCTTTTTTATTTTTCATTTTGCTGCTCTATTATACCATAACTAATATAGGCTGATCTTACATAATGTGATACATTGGTGGTGACAACAGAAGGTTACCATGCCTATCACAAATAAACATGATAAAATAACACAGGTTTATAGTCAGAAGAAATATCTATTTTAGCAGGTGTCAAAGCAGCTAAAACACTTATTCAGTGATAACTTTCTACCCAGTTTTCAAGTGTCTCTTGCTTTCTCTTCATCTGCCTTATACTTTATTTCTACAATGCTTTGCATTTGTATTTATTTATTAATTTATGTCGAGTAACACTATCATTTTGACTCATTGCTTAACAAAGAGGAGCATGGTTCATGGTCTCCTTTGCCCTATGGCCAATTTGCCTAGCTTGATCCAAATTTATGTTCTTCTTGCCTACTCATGGTTAAGCATTTAGGGTCCATTGGTGCAAAACCTCACATGTAGGGGGAAGCAGCAGATAGTGTCCATTACTCTTCCCTAGGGTACGTGTACACTACACACTTAAGTTAACTTCAGATAAGTCGATGTCCAGCCGTCACAGTAATTAAGTTGGTAGTGTGCGTCCATACCACACTCTTTGTGTTGGTGGAGCGCGTCCTCATTAGCAGCTCTTGCACTGATGCAGAGAGCAGTGCACTGTGGGTAGTTATCCCACAGTGCAACTTGCTGCAGAGGGTTTTGGGAAGGGCTTGCAATGCCCTTCCCAAACTTTTGAGTTTCATCGCAAAAAGTCATTGGCAAGTGTAGATGCTCCCATGGTTTTTGCGCAAAAAAGGGACTTTTTCCGCTTTAAATGACAAGAGTAGATATGTCCTAGGTTAGACCTCAGTGAAAGCAATATCCCCATGGTTATAGCTGCCTGCTGTGTGCTTCATAATACCTGTGAGGCAAAGGGAGACAAGTTTGCACAGAGATGGGGCGTGGAGGTGGATCGGCTGTCTGCTAATTTTGAGCAGCTAGATACCAGGGCTATAAGAAGAGAGCATGGGGTACTGCATCTCAGGGAGGCTTTGAAAATCCATTTTAGTCATGACCCACAGTAATGTGCACTGCTTCTCTGTGTTGTGCCTTCCATAGTGTGAACCTTGCTGAGATGGCTGGGTTTTTGTCCTCAGCACCTCCCCTCTGTTGCCTCAGGTTCCCTGTCCCGCCCCGTCTCCCTGTTTTAAATTAACAAAGATACTTTCATTCACAAGACATGGACTTTTATTGCACAAACATACTGAAACTTAAAGAGCACAAATAGTATTTAACCTTGGACACATGGTGGAATAAAATTGGGAGGGGAAAAACACATTAATCTTGTCTTTAAAAGCAGTGGCCTTGCCTGTCACACATCATTGTATGTCCCGCTTTTATTCTTAGGACTCTCCCTTTGGGCTTGAGTGGAAGGAATATTGCATTTCCCCCCCTTGCCTCCTAGAACGTTTGGTAGTGGGGAAAGATGGTGATGTTGGAAGGCAGCTCTGCAGGGACTGCAAAGGGAGTCTAGCCTCAAGATTTTTCTCCTGAAGGTCAACCAGATGCCTCAATATGTCTGTTCCATCAGAATCCACAGCATCTCCTGCTGCATGCCACACTCATGCTTCTGGGCTGCTCTCCTACTCGCAATGTCCATGTCCCATTTTTCAGAGAGAGAAGTCTCCACACTTAATGCTTGGTGTCTGCCATCCCAGAGGCATTCATTATCTCATTAAACATGTCATCATGCATTCTCTTTAGCCTTCGTCTTATAGGGGAGAGCCTCTCCACCGGTGTGCAGGAAGAGCTGAAGGCTGCACTTTCAGCTGTAAGCCATGGAAAGCACAAAGCAACCAATGTCAGTGCAGACCCAGTGTTCAGTGCAGAGTTGCTATATAAAAATCTCTCCCCTTGTTTTATGGAAGTTTAAGGCAGAACCTTTTCATTTACACTAGGTATTTATTGAACCTGTTTGCTGTCCCAGCCATGGTGAATATGGCCCTGGGGCATCGGTGCTGAACCATCAGCAGCATTGAGTGGGCAACCCACCACGGACCAGAGGTGGGCAAAGGGCCATGCCATCTCCTCCTTGTAACATGGACATTGTCTGGAGATTGGGGACCAGCGCTGACCTCCCAAACTACAAGCCTTGGCAGAGGCTGCGCTGGAGGGGGTGCGTGCCTGCTACAATGTGTGGGCACCACAAAATTTCCCTTCCCCCTGGTGCCACTGCTGCTAGCTGTCATCTGAGGATTGCAGTTACGAAGGTCAATGAGGACCCCTGCCACCCAAACTACAGCCATGTTTTGGAAATCGTGAGTGAAGGAGTGGAAAATCACAATGCAGGGGGACCACACATACTATTTTTTGTGGTCCGAGCAGTTGAAATGAAAACTACCACCATTTCCCCTAGGTGACCCTATGCGATATCACTCTCCTGAGGGTAACAGAGGCAGCAAGAGAATAGATGCTGCAAGGTCCAGGTCCAGACCGGGCGCTCATGCTGCTATGCTGTGTACTGCAATGATGCCAGCAGAATTAATATTGGAGTGGCGCGGGAAAGTGTCTTGCCATGGTGGAAGAAATAAGGCAGCCCTTCCCAGAAACCTTCTGCAATGGATTGCAGAGTACCACCACAAAAGTTTCTTGAAGCTCTCTGTGGAGGTTTTCTGGGCCATCCCTGTGTACTGTGACAGACCCAGACCAGTGGGGTACAGGAATCTGGTAGATGGCAAATACACTGGTCGCTGGATGAGTAGTTTTCTGTTCCCTGATGACCAGAGCAGGGGCTGCACTAGAGTAATCAGGAACCTGCTAGAACCAGTTAAGGCAGGCAGGTTCTAATTAGGACACCTGGAGCCAATTAAGAAGAAGCTTCTAGAATCAATTAAGGCAGGCTAATCAGGGCACCTGGGTTTTAAAAGGAGCTTACTTCAGTTTGTGGTGTGAGTGTGAGGAGCTGGGAGCAAGAGGTGCAAGGAGTGGGAGTGCTGCTGGAGGACTGAGGAGTACAAGTGTTATCAGACACCAGGTGGAAGGTCCTGTAGTGAGAATAAGGAAGGTGTTTGGAGGAGGCCATGGGGAAGTAGCCCAGGGAGTTGTAGCTGTCATGCAGCTGTTACA